TGTAAAAACGTGTCTGTCTCTGGCTCAGCGCCAGCCAGCGAACGCAGATTTGTATTTAGCAGCTGATGCTGTGCTGCACTGAACAATCTAATCACACCGGTGCGATTGTATCAAATATAAAAAAATGTTGTTCAGCTATTTTTGTCTTTTGGAAGTTGCATTCAAAATGCACTTGGCTCAGAAATCTGAAAAGAAATCACTTTGAATGGGCTTGACGCCTCTGTTCCAAACGACTACATAATGGCACGCACGTGCCCTTCTCACTCCAAAGTCCCAACTCCAAGGGGATAGGGATGATCACTTCCATTTGGAATTTGCCCCGTGAACCGTTCGGTACCGATACTCACACCCCTATTCGCTAACAATAAACCGTTGTATATCAAGCTTCTTTTTACCCCAACTGAAGAATGAAAACATTTTTTGCTTGTTGTTTTGTAAAAATTTCCCACACTCTACTGGTTCAGCTGCACTCTGGCATGCTTTCATAAGCGCCGTGTGTGTCTTTGTCTATTGGATTGCATGCAGGAGGGCTGAATTTATAGTCTTGTGCTACAGCGCAAACCGTGTTATTGCAGGTCCTTACATTAGGTCACGTGAGATTAAAGGACTATTCGACAACAAAAATATTTGTTATTGATCATTTTGACTAATCATTTCAGCCCCAAATGCATGGGTGAGACCAGGTTCTGTCTAGTTTCCTTAGGTATTTCTTCTATTAGGTCCAGGTATTCTGTGGCGGTGCTCTGTGCAGCGGAGATCTGTGGAGAGGAGAGGTGTTTAATTAACAATCTCACAGTGTTACTGTTGAGTGATAACCTCAAACCTATTCAGTGGGGTTCGTCAAGTGACAGAAAAGAAGAAAGATTGCATGAGCGTAGCCACTTAAAGTCAGCACAGGTCACACCTTCCCATTCTTCATTTTGAAAACCGGATATGAAAAGACCTTGAGACGGAATGCTGGGAAACAGAGCTGTCCTGATGTTCAACCATAAAAATGTCTCTTCTTGATTAAAAAGCCAGCCAGCTCTCCATCTGTCCCTGATGGCACATGTGACCTTCCTGTTGTAATGTGTTCATAATGTGTAACGGTCTTGCTGATCGTCATCGTCAAGTTGATTTGCCATAAATCGTGAAGCAGAGTCATAGGCCAGTGTTTATGCAGATGAGAGTGAATGATTGAAAGGGGCTTTGTCAGATAGTAGCAAGACAGACTATGACATTAAGATCCAGAGAGAATTGCTTATTTTTCCTTATTATATACCAATGAATGGCCCGTTGCTCACTTGCATGACATATGATCAGTGTTGGGCAGTAGCGCATTACTTAGTAATGCGTTACTGTAATTTGATTACTTTTTTAGTAATGGAGTAATTTAACGCGTTATAATTTTCAAAATAGTAATTAGAGTATAGTTACAAGCCGAGGTCTCTATACGTTACTGCCGCGTTACATTGCTGACAGAATGCAGTGTTTTATAATATATTGTAAAAAGGATGTAGCACACACACTGTCGAGTCAAGTGCCAGTGGATTAGACACCTGCTCCCGCGAGACCCGACGCAACAGAGCGCGGCTCAGGACAAGATGGGCGAGTGCTGGTGTGAGTTTTATCGGGAGCGTGTATGCTGGAATTTCATAAATTTCATGGAGAAAAAAGTAACGTAACTAGTAATGTAACTAATTACTAATTACTTTTGAAATGAAGTAATCAGAACAGTAACGTGATTACTTTTAAAAGGAGTAACCAGTAATCAGTAATTTGATTACATTTTCAGAGTAACTTGCCCAACACTGCGTATGATACTAACGTGTTTGTTTGCTATTTTGCAGCCAGTTTGATGCTTCTAATTCATTGATTTATAAATAAACACTACTGTTTTTAAAGTTTGAAGTTGATTTGGAGTAAGATTTTTTTATGCTTTTGATAAGTCTCTTTTTATAAGTATCTTGTGCTCACTAAGGCTGCATTTATTTGGTCAAAAATGCAGTAAAAACGGTAATATTGTGAAGTATTTCAATTTAAAGTAAATGTTTTCTATTTGAACGTTTAAAAATGTAATTTATTTCTGTGATGCAGAGCTGAATTTTCAGCATCATTACTCCAGTGTCACATGATCCTTCAGAAATCATTATAGTATGCTGATTTGCTGCTGAAGAAAACATTGTTATCAATATTGAAAACAGTTGTGCTGCCTAGTATTGCTGTAGAAACTGTGATACTTTTTTATCAATTTCCTTCAAAAAAAAAAAAAAAAAAGAAAGAAAGAAAATATGACCCCAGACATTTGAACAGCGGAGTACTCCTGAAAAGTATAGTCATTATGCCTCTTTTTGCACATCCAGACTGGCCCGACACAACAACATTGGCTCAACCAATTGCATGAGTCTGAGGGGGGACAGTTTGTTTGTCCAATGAGGAGCATCTTTAAAACCCTTTCAAAGTTCCAGTTCTGTTTGTTGATGCTCAAGGTGCAGATATAACACACTTATGCTTTTAATGATGTCACCTTGAAGATATGAGGCTATTCTGTCCCTGATCAATTTAACTGGGTGACTTTTGGAAAAGAAATAAAATGCCAGCCTTTGGCTTGTTTTGGTTAGTTTGTTCTGGGTACTTATAGGTGCACTAAAAAATTTTTGAAAAACGCTTTTGACCACAGTGTCGGACCGAGTCCCAAAACACACTTGTAGCCAATCAGCAGTAAGGGGGCGTGTCTTGTAATGATAGAGAGAAGAGAGCGCTCAATTTGAGTGCACAGACGGATATTATCAGATCGACTATAGATAGAGAGAATTGGAGGATAAAGAGGAAAATATCGGAGAAACAAAACATTAAAAAGAAAGGTTACGATCAGGCAAGAGGTAGGATCCGCGTAAATATCGGAGCAGCTTTCCAGCGGTGGAGTGAACTCAAGGAGCGGGAAGGCCTAGAATCGGACGCCGAGGTTGCATTGTTTGTTTTTGATAGGTGAGTAACGTTTATTTTGTTGGCGTTTGTTTGAATATGCTTGTGTGTCATCTTCGCTTCCGTAATTGTCGTTATGCCAGGGTTGTGTACATACGTGTGGGGCGTAGATATCAAAATAGGGGCGAGGTCCTGTCGGGGTATGGGCGTGTTTGTTTTGGTACTTTCAAATATCAACAGCGTTTGGATCGCTTAGTGCACCTTTAAAGTCCGTGAAAAGGCGATTCAGAGAATTGTTTCTAAACACATTTAGAAATGTTAGAAATGTATTGCTGAAACACGTTACAAAGACTGTGAACTTTGCAATACTGAATTGTGGAGTTACACCGTTAAACCGTTTTTCACTATTTTTGTGTTCAGGATTTTTTGGGCGGGCCTGAAATCATGTGTTGGTGACGCACTGGAGCCACTGAGCATGGCCTCTCCCCTAACACTATAAAGAGGTGTGTTTGACTTGAAGCAGCGCTGTGCAGACCGATCGGTGTGTGACATCAAAGTACAGTGAGAGCTATAGAGAGCAGACGCTCCTTACGCTTTCGAATCGGTTTCACAGTACTTTGTTGTCATACACCGATCAGTCTGCGCAGCGCTGCTTCAAGCTGAACACGCCTAATACCTAGAGCGCATTAGCATCAGTGGTTCACCGCTCAATCGCAAGTTCCTGTCATTACTGTTGGTTACAGTCATCACCGATAGCCTTGTGGGCAGCGCGTCGACATGTAGCGCCATTGCGCTTCGGGCGTCCCGTGTTTGAGTCCCGGCTCGCGGACCTTTCCCGATCCCATCCCCCCTCTCTCTTCCACTTCGCTTCCTGTCTCACTATTATCCTATCAATAAAAGGCAAAAACGCCAAAAATAAATATTAAAAAAAATAAAAAATTACTGTTGGTTACTACAGCCTACAGTTTACTAGTTAGCGATGCCTTCATCACGTATATTACGTGGTTGAGATCATTTACAAAACAGCTCGGTCTCCTTATTTAAATTAAGCTGCTAGAGGGAGCATCCATTCAGGTTGTATTGGTATTTGGCAGTTGAGAAAGACAGCAGCTTTCCCGCGAGTGGGCATGGTTTAGCCCCGACAGCGGACACGCCCCCAGCGTTTGAGAGCTGAGAATACTGCTTATTTTTTCAAGATTTTGACACCTTATTCTATTTAATTGGCATTTTTTTATCATTCAAATTTGGCTGGGTGGTTACCGGCTCGCGGACCTTTCCCGATCCCATCCCCCCTCTCTCTTCCACTTCGCTTCCTGTCTCACTATTATCCTATCAATAAAGGGCAAAAACGCCAAAAATAAATATTAAAAAAAATAAAAAATTACTGTTGGTTACTACAGCCTACAGTTTACTAGTTAGCGATGCCTTCATCACGTATATTACGTGGTTGAGATCATTTACAAAACAGCTCGGTCTCCTTATTTAAATTAAGCTGCTAGAGGGAGCATCCATTCAGGTTGTATTGGTATTTGGCAGTTGAGAAAGACAGCAGCTTTCCCGCGAGTGGGCATGGTTTAGCCCCGACAGCGGACACGCCCCCAGCGTTTGAGAGCTGAGAATACTGCTTATTTTTTCAAGATTTTGACACCTTATTCTATTTAATTGGCATTTTTTTATCATTCAAATTTGGCTGGGTGGTTAATAACACATTTTTCTGTGGTGTGACAAACTCAGAACACATATTTAGCTTTACACTGACTTTAATTTCTTGTCCAGTCGAACTTTATTTGGAAGACATCATCTGAAACTTTGACATCCATTTAGTATGTATGTGTATGTGTGTGAAGGCTGGCGTCAGATCATACACCCCACTCTGTTCAGTCTGCTGTCTGCTGTGCACTATTTGCATGTCTCCATCTGTCTCTCTCTCTCTTATCACTCTCTTCCTCTCTTTATCCGTGCATATGTCACCTTGTTTTGTCATACAATAAAATTTGACATTCGGCTATATGGAGCCACAGACAATAAATCTGCCAACAGATTAGGCGTTTTAGGAGGTGACCTCTACCTCTCCTTGGTTCTCCCTCTCATCCCAGGGTTCCACCACAGTCTTCCGTCCTCTCCGTACACCTCGTCTGGGCCGGAGGGTCACAGACTGGCAGCGTCCGGAGCACTGTCCTCGGAGTTCCTGAACCGGGCCGATGGGATGGTGAAGATCTTGCTGTTGGTGTGTAATGCAGCCGGAGCAGGACAGCAGGCAGTGAGGTACCCTAAAAAATGCTGCATTTTTTGACAGTTTTTTGTCTTTTGGTGAAAAAATAAGGGCTGTTAATCGATTAAACCATTTAATCGAATTAATCGTGATTAATCGAATGATTGTCATGAGTTAACTCGTGATTAATCGCACATTTTAAATGTACCTTAAATTAATACTTTTCAAGTTTTTAATACTCTAATCAACATGGGTTGATATGGATGCTTTATGCAAATGTATGTTTATTATTAGTGAAACCATACTCAACATAGAGCATAAAGAATTCAGATACAGGTTTTCACAAAAACAAAACGTTTTTTAAATCATTTTTAAAAAATTTAAACAAAAGTATCAATTATTATATTAATTTAAACAATTATTATATTAAATACCATATAACTATATTTTACTGGCTTAATTGTTTAGATTTTTATAATGCATTATCTTCTTATCGATCTACTAGTTCACATTTACAAATGTGTGTTTGCTGCATAAAAACATGGATGTTCGCATTGGTCTGAACAAAAACAGGACTTATTGAAAATGCAAATTCATTCTCTGCCAGCAGATGGCACTTTCGGAACGGCAGAAATATAGAGGTTTCTCAGACTGTAAACAAAGCAGCACAGCAGCGGACTTTGAAACGTGCAGTGCACATATTTATTCAATGAAATCATCGCCTTTTAAAGTTTAATCGTCACATTAAGCCATATCACAATTCTTGTCTTTCCCTCCCCAAATTTAAGACCTCTTGAAATCATAATTAAGACTTTCTTGTACCATTTAAGACTTTTTATGGCCTTAAATATGATACAATTAAATTTAAGACCTCTTAAGACTTTTTAAGGACCCGCGGGAACCCTGAAACAGAAAATGCACGCTGCATTAATCGCGCATTAATAAAATTAGTGCCGTTAAAAATGAATTTGCATGAATGTTAGCCCTAGAAAAAATCATTTAAACTTTGTCAATATTTTGCCATGTCATATTCATTTATATTTGTCAAGTTTATTCAGACTAAAATGGCAACTAATTTTAGTCAAAAGAAATAACATTTTAGTTGACAAGAAGTAATTTTAGTTGCAAAATTAAACCAAATACTTATCTATTAATTTAAACATGTATCCTCATATATGAAAACTACTGAAATAACATATTAGTGAAACTATTATAATACAATGTTGTGAAACATTTAGTTATTTGTACATCTTTAAGTTGTTACAGAAAGACCGTATTCACAACTCATTCTAAGCCGTAACTTAGTTCAAGTTCACTTGTATTTTTTGTCATTTTGTGCAGATGTAAGATGTAAAATTACGTTTATATTGTGTATACAGTTCAGTTTACTGGCATTCAAGCATGTCTATTGCCAGCATTATTAACTCTGACTGGATTATTTGAAAATTTTCTACAATATTCTACTTCATAAACATATTCACATATGGTTTAATATCTTGCGTTGTTCTTTTTTTCTCGTCATAATGTTAAAAATATTGAAAAATATATTTATATTTTATATAGATATATTATAAAATATATATTTATATTATATTATACAATAAACTAAAATAATATATTATATTTATATTTATACAGTACCGTTGAAAAGTTTAGGGTCGTGAAGATTTTTAAATGTTTTTTTTAAAGTGTCTAATGCTCACCAAGGCTGCATTTATTTGATCAAAAATACAGTAAAAACAGTAATATTGTAAAATATTAATACACTGTAAAATCACTGTTTGAATATATTATAAAATGTAATTTATTCCTGTGATGCAAAGCTGAATTTTCAGCGTCATTACTCCAGTCTTCAGTGTCACATGACCCTTCAGAAATCATTATAATATGCTGATTTGCTGCTCAAGAAACAATTTCTTAATATTATCAATGTTGAAAACAGTTGTGCTGCTTAATATTTTTGTGTAAACTGTGATAAATTTTTTTCCAGGATATTTTGATGAATAGAAAGTTGGGGGAAAAAACAGGATTTATTTGAAATATAAATTTTTGTAAGATTATTAATGTCTTTACTGTCACTTTTCATGCATCCTTGCTGAATAAAAGTGTTCATTCCTTTAAAAAACAGGAGGGGAAAAACTGACTAGATTATCACTATATGAGATTAGCCAATCGTAACAAAGTTTATTTACAAAAATAAATTTTAAAGGTTTAATTTCAAGGGGTCACAAAGGGTGAAAATGATCTGAACTAGCATTAAAAGTGGACTTCAGAGAACAAAAACATGCCTCTTTATGCCACGTAAAGCTGGCAGGTATCAATAGTGACAACTTTACCTCAACTTTTCACTTTTGCTCTAAAAGCTTCTCACAGATTCTTTGACGTTTGTCACATCAGAGCGATCCTTCAGACACACAGTGACAGTGACAATCGCTCAGAGATCAATACTCTCTTAGGTGTGAATGCCTCCAGAAATCTAATTTCATTCCATGGCTTTTTGTAATGTGAGTTTCTCCCTCACTTTAAAGGATGTCATAGAGAGAACGAGAGAGAGCAAGGCTCAGAACATATGTTCGTCTCTTACAGATGAGCTAGAGTGAGTACATGTCATTTTGAAGGCAGTGATAGTTTGATTGATTTTCTCCAGAGACTGATAAAAGTGATATTCCTATCACTGCAAAGTTAGAGTGTGGAAAGGACTAGATCTGACATACAGCTGTAGTCATGAGTTCATTAATTGGGAATGTTTGAATATAGAAACTTACAATGAGACTAGGCAGATGTCATAACAAGGCCGTAACCATATCTTAAACATTGGTATATAAAGTACATTTTTGTATATATTTTTAACTAGGGGAGATTTAAGGGAATAACTTAATTAAATTAATTCAAATTAAATAAATAAAAATAGTAAAAGAACTACAATGTATTGTAATGCGTTTGAACTATTTGCAAATAATATTTTAATTTTAAAATATGCACACATTCACTCTTAATCATATGCCTAGCATGTCAGAAATATTTCTGTTAATGTTTCTTGTCCCGCCACATTCAAAATACATTACATGAATCATGTAAATGATGAAGGGTATTTTCGATTAGAAATGTTGCCATGGCAATTAACAGCAATAAAATAAGTTCAAATGAAATAAAACACAAAAACTAATAAAAAATTACAAAAGCACATCATTACTAAAACTAAAATGAAAATAAAAACTGAAAATATAAAAATGAACACTAATTCAAAATATTAATAAATGCTATAATAGTATATAAATCATATTAAAATAACACTTTTTAGGAAGTATTAACATTAAGATGGATAAACTATATTTTCTAATCGATGCAATTAGCAGTTGGGCACTTGTATAGACAGGAAGCACTGCAGAGTTCACATAAAATAAAATGGATTATAGAAAGAATATCAGGTTCCCTATGGAGTTTTCTACCCCAGAGGACTTTACTGTCATTTTAAGATCATCACAGGAGCAGGTATATTGCAGGAAAACATTCTTTTGATGTTTAGAGTGTGCAACATCAAACATAGTGGAAAAGTCAGCAAAGAGTTTCTCTGTTGTGTCCACATTGATTTTGTTTGTTGCTAGTTGCTGGTTGTAGGCTTATAGTAGCAATTTCAGCATGTCTATCTTTAAAGTCAACATAAAATCTAAATTTACCCTATTAAATTGATTGAATAAATTTTTGGTCTTATTGTGCATGATTTTTCAGTATATGTTATTCCAAAGAATATCGAAAAAAATATTTCTCTTTGTAATCTTTAATCAATACGTGATGTCTTTCTATCCTACTTTCCTTTCCAGCTGACTTAACTTAGGCCAAAAGGGGTTAAATAATGTTCACCTAGAACAAAATAGCTATTTAGTCATTGTTTGGGGCTATTAAAATCTTGCCTATATGTAATGCAGTCATTTAATAACAATTACCATAATGCACTAATAGCAAATAGTGATGCATTTGAAAAAGGACCATTTATTTGAGACTATTGCAATAAGATGCTGTCAAAAGGTGAATTTGACCTTATCGAAAAAAATATTTCTCTTTGTAATCTTTAATCAATACGTGATGTCTTTCTATCCTACTTTCCTTTCCAGCTGACTTAACTTAGGCCAAAAGGGGTTAAATAATGTTCACCTAGAACAAAATAGCTATTTAGTCATTGTTTGGGGCTATTAAAATCTTGCCTATATGTAATGCAGTCATTTAATAACAATTACCATAATGCACTAATAGCAAATAGTGATGCATTTGAAAAAGCACCATTTATTTGAGACTATTGCAATAAGATGCTGTCAAAGGTGAATTTGACCTCAAAACTGTCCTCACCACCTTACTGAAGTGAAATTGTTTGCAAATGCTGTTTTATGATCATTTTTATCTATTTTTTATGTCCAGAATATGTTTAAACTGTGTGGTGTCAAGCATAGTTAGATAGATGGACGGACAGACACTTTATTGCTTTATAATTTGGTGAAGCCTCCCCGTGTTGTTGCCTGGGGCGAGATGTGTGACGTTAACAGCATCAAAGCATGTTTGTTCAGATCTCAGTTCTCTCTCTGCCTCCTGTCAGGGAAAACTCCCACCGTTGTTTTTGGCTGAGGCGAAACCCCAACACAATTACGTGTTTATCACATTCTGAAAGGCTTGCTTTCCCTCAGCTCACTTTTGTTTGTTTTGTCTCCTTTATTCATGCTGTACAAGTCCTGTAGCAGAAATCTGGAAACTTAATCACTAGCCTCCTGCCGCAAAAAAAAAAAACACTAAACTAAAAAGGGTGGGGTGGATTTCAAGGGCACTGCTGAGTACACTGGAACATAGTGTCCAAACACAGGCAGTAATTTATCTGACAAACATGCACATCAAAATGTGACCCAGTGTTTACATATGAATCTCATGTGATTTCAGGTAGTGACTAAGGTCTTTGCAGTTGTGTATCTTTAACCTTTTTAGGCCAAGAACCCCATGGTGGAAGGAGAGATTGTGCAAGACCCCTGTTTCGTATTATTTAAAACTGATTGTTGTTTTTTAATCCTTGTCGATAATAACATGAGTTCCATAACATGTATCCAAATACTTTTAAGCTAACATTGCAAAGCTGTTTTATGTAATTTAAATGGTTTAATGTGGGAGGGACAATGTAAGATTTAGCTGAACTGTAGCATTTTTAACGTTGGTTGAGGTTAACTCAGTACAAGGTTACTATAGTTAACTAAAACTGCAATACTAAAAAATAAATGTTAACTGAAACAAAATATAATAAAAATGTTTTTACTTTATTTCAGGCAACATTTCTCATTTGTATTTAGTTTAACTTGATGTACTAAAAGCTAAAATTAAAATTAATAATAATCTGTACAGACATATTAAAAAAAACGAATAAAAATGACAAAAACTTTATTTAAATTACTAAAACTTTAATTGAAAATTAAATAAAAATAAAAATAAAAACTACTATTATTAAAACTATAATAGAATCTCAGTGATACTAAAATAATATTAAATTCTATTTTAATTTTTAGGTCAACGTGTTCAATGAACAGTATAGTTTTTTTCTTAGGCAATAATGGAAATGTTCAATAGCTTTTTGTCATCAGAATGTTAAGGTATATGTCTATATAGAAACTTGACTGTCAAAAATAAACCTATCCCGTAAAAGTGTGACAACTAGCCCCGGTCTCCCATGTATCACATGTATTTAAATAATAATACAGTTTATTTTATAAAGGACGTTTAAAAGGACCTCTCATGGTGCTTTATAAACATTGAAACATAATGCATAAAACAATATACAAGCATGCAAAAAAACAACAACAAAAAAACATCAACATCATCCATATTAACACACTAATCTGATATCTGTTTATCTGCAGATTCGGTCCTCCATTTCTGATGAGAGAGGACAGGTCAGTGTCGTGGGACCAGCTACAGCAGAGCATCCTCAGTAAACTCTACTATCTAATGATCAATGGATCACAGGCACATGTAAGATCAACTGCCATACTTGACGGAGGTTATAGTTAAACCATAGTTAATTTAGCTGATGGAGAGTTTAGCTGTAAATACAAGCTATGGATGCAAGAAAATACAAAATATGTGCAAACTTTGAACAGTCAGTCCCACCAAAGACAATCACAATTCAAGATCTTTAGGTTTCAAAGTAAAGTCTCTCACAAAATGCCATCACTTCCTCTAAAACATCTGCTTCCTTCCTCTTACATTCTTGTAGTTATTCCTGTTGCTTTTCAGCAGTTGATTGGTTCCCCCTGCTGTGTGTTTTTAGACACACCAGCCAGAATAAAACCGTGTCAGTCCGCATCAAGGGCGTCTTTTAGTAGGCGTCTATGGACCCCTGTGGGTCCATAAAGGTACTACAGAGGGCCTGCAAACAGATATACAGATATATATAGTTTGGGGTCAGTAAGATTTTGAAAGATATCTTTTTTTATGCATCAAGGTTGACTTAAATTGATTAAAAGTGACAGTAAAGACATTTACATTGTTACGAAAGATTTCAAATAAATGAACTTTTGAACTTCCTATTCATCAAAGAATCCTGTATCACGGTTTACTCAAAAATATTAATCAGCACGGCTATTTTCAACATTGGTAATAAGAAGAAATGTTTATTTAGCACCAAAGTATGTTTTCTGAAGGATCATGTGACAGTGAAGGCTAAGCAATGGCTGCTGAAAAATTCAGCTTTGCATCACAGGAATAAATTATATTTGAAAATATATTCAAATAGAAGACAGTATTTTAAATTGTATGTATGTATGTATATATGTATATAAGCATCACTGTTATCATTTATTTTGTTGCTTAGTGTTGTCAGTTTTAAATATGATTGAAAGAAACACCCTCTCATATAATCTCACATCACTTTTCTGTCTTGATATTTCTAACTAGTTAACAATATCACAATGCCAATATTGAAGTATTAGTGTAATTGCAAAAGCAACTGCTCAATGTTTTATGCTTCTTTGGCCTTTTTCTACTAACATCTCCATGTTTTTCATTTCAGAATTTCAGGGTGTTGTTCAAGATTCGTGTTGTTGGGGGATCTGCAGCTTATAGCTACTTAAATCCCCAAGACGGACGGCCACTTTATCACCCTGCAGTGGACAGGTAGTATTGTGTGTGTGTGTGTGTGTGTGTGTGTGTTCATACAGACATGGATCAGAACAGAATATACATTTTATATATAAATCTTTCTCAGAGGTGCCAGTAACAGCAATCCAGTTCATAGGTTGTTTTCTAATAAAACAGACTCTAAAATAAACAGTTAACATTTTTATGAATTAAACAAACAATCAATATAACTTTATTCATTATTCATAGTTAGCAACGCTTAATAATTCATACTGTATTTACAGGTAGAGGCATCAGAGAAGCTACTGAATTTATGATACTTTTTTTTTTTATCCTAAACATCAAAAGAAACCTCTGAGTGGCCGCCAACATTTATCACCCTCATAAAATTTCTACAGCCCTCGAGGAGCCTTTTAAAGCACACAGGGTTAAATGATGTCCTTAACCCTCGAAACCTTCAAATATTGACACTAATCTCATAATCATCTTAACGTCTTCCTGCACATCTTCCTGCTGACATTCTCTTCATGATTCTCTTGTTCATATTCTAGATGTGCTGCAGTTACAGGTTGATCAGGATTGGAGAGTATTATCCTTACGTTTTGTAATATGTCATATTTTACCATTTTGTAGTAACTGTGGTGGGTTTGTTCTTAATAATTTCACAACAGTGGTGTTTGATAAGGTAGCTTATTACACAGCACTCTGGAATACTCGATTCGGATTGGAATCAACATTCCGTGATTCCGTTATTCCCCAATAACAACCATTGCATTAGCAACATTGTCATTAACATACCGTTTATCCAGGTATTTGGGACTGGAGCTTTCATTCAAATACATTTTGTGCCTCAGTTATCGACTGTATTTACTGTAAAATTAAACTGGGGGACTTCAGTATTAACAGTCTTGTTGTCAGAACACTGTAATGGATTTAAGATAATAAACAGGTAAAATTGTAAAGGTAAAAGAAGTTTCTTCTCAAATAACATTTAATGTCCTCGTCATTATTTATGTGGTTAAAAGCTGTGTAATTAGTAATACGACTGTACATTATGCCTTAAACGTCCATCTTCTCTGTGTCTATGCAAAGCCGTTTGCCAGGAACTGTTTTTCTTTGCTCAAATGTTATTCATACGTGGTCATGGTCATGCAGTGGCTTTCTAACTTTTCCTGAGAATGTACTGGGTATTGAGTATTTTTTTAAAACCTCTAAATGTGTATGTCTGCGTGTATATTTGTGTATGCGTGAGAAGCTCTTTTAACACAATCCCTTTGGCTTTGTCTTTATCTCCTCAGAGCTCTAAAGCTGTGCGGCTCAGGTGGGCCGCCGCATGTGAAGCTCATTGTTGAGTGGGAGCACAGAATCAAAGACTGGTAATGCAATCTTTCACTTCCTTTTGAGTATGTGTGAAAATACAGAACATTCCATCCACACTTCGTTTTAAAGCACATCGAGACAGCAATACAAGCGTGACGGTCCAATGACCTGGTGTTACTGTGTGTCTGTGTGCAGCCTGTTTGGTAACATCCAAGAGGAGGTGGTGAAGGACTCGGAAAGTGTTCGTGCTCAACAAAAACACCACGTTCAACAGCACAGCTGCACCCTGGATGAGTGCTGTGAGCTCTACACTAAAGAAGAACAAGTAACTCACACAAAATCACATTTAGTACTGAATATTAGCAGCTGAATGCCACAGGAAATCACAACCCAGCTTAAACTGAGTGCGAGGGCGATATTGCATTTATATAATGTTATACAATAAAAAAAATACCAATGAATAGTAAAACATTCCAGTGAAAATGTGTAGTTAAAAGAAATATCAAAATATTTTTTTTATATTCTGTAATTTGTACATTTTGAAATGTTCGTTAATTAATTATACGATTTTTATTATAATAAATTATACAGTATTATTATTATCCTAAATTATAAGATACCATTATTATTTGGTTAAGGTTTTTATTATAATTAATTATAAGATGTTATAATTAAAATATAGTATTATTAATTATATTATATATTATTATTAAATGTATTATAATTTGTATTATTTTAATAATTTAAGTTATTTTAATAATAATTTAAATGTTAAATTTTATTTTAACTGTTTTTAGTCAAATAAATAATAGAATTTAATTAAAATAATTAGCAATTAGCAGCTATTCCATTAGCATATTTGTAGATTATTTTACTAAATTGCTATTAATTTTATTTAAAGCAATTTAGTAAAATATAACTAAATTTTATTAATTTGCTTCAGAGATGGCTTTAGCCTTAATGACCTTTTCCTTATACATTTTACAAAAATTATGTGACATTTCTTGGAAATCAGGAAATACAAGCATTGTTCTCCCTCTTGTTGTTCATAAAAGTAAGTGTGTAAAGCTTTTTAACCAACTTTCATTATTTCAGATAAACATGCATAACAGCTGAGACCTGGAAATTTTCTGAAACATCATTTTGTGATGATTGTGATGTTCCCCTTTCATTCTGTGACAGTCGCTCTAGTGCAGCAGGAGTTTCTATTTGAAAGAGGACAAATCTCTCTGGTTACTTTCGTAACCTCGGTTCCCTAAGATAAGGGAATGAGCATTGCGTTGTACGCTTATGGGGTAAACTCCTGTTTACTCTGATACTGAAGCCTGATTTGTTCACGTTCATGTAAATGGCGCTTCAACCTGCCAAAAGGGGTCGAGCCGACTGCTATATAATAGGGCTGGGTTTTGACACAAATTTCACAATTCGATTCGATTATCTTTCACAAACTTGCGATTCGATTTAGTTTCGATTCCAATTCAATATTGATTATTTTGGATATATATCATGTACAGTTCATGGCAAATTTTCTCAAGGAAAAAAAAGGTTGAAATTTGCTGATTTGTATACAAACACTTAAAATATGCTTAAAGTTTTTGTAATATTAAAGTTATAATACTAATTTTAACTTTAAATTACATAATTATATTTCTACTCCAATTCTGTTTTTTTTTTAAATATAAACATAAAAATTGTGGTTGTCGCAAAAACTTGACGAATTTATTCAAACATAAATTAAATATTGAAGAACAGTAAAAAACATTATAATGAATATGTTATATGGTGCATATTTAGCTAAATGCTCCTCTCTAGAGTAAATTTTTCTAGCTGACTAATGAGTTCATGGTCACCGAATATGTTTTTCTGAGGTAAATATGACGATTTGTGAAACATTGTTTACAAGCTATTGTCATCTTTCCACGTTTGAAACACTGATTGAGCGATTACATGAGACAGGATACAGATTTCGGTAAGTTATACTCTCTTTTAACACCTTCAGATGTTCATTCATGTTTATTTCATGCTGTAACTGCTATTAAAGCGGAGGAGATGATCAGTTCACAGCGATCTGTCACTCCACCTCAAACAGCACCAAAACGGCATTTAATATTTGAATATTGTAATAAAATGGACAGAATTTGAAATCTGAGACTTTGTTTCATATCAAAATTAACAAATCACAAAACTTATTGCAATTTATTGGATGGGAGGCGTGCTACAATGTTCAGTTCATTATCTGACAGGTTAGACTAATCGATTCTCGGGATTTATGACTCGATATCTTTTCATAAAAATGAGAATCAATTAAAATCAAGAAATCATATTTTTTACCCCTACTATATAAGTCAGCTTAGAGTGCCATTCATCAGAATCTTTCAACTGATAGCGACAGTCATCGACTTGTGTGCAGCCTTATAGCATCAGCAGCTTATGCAATGCTCGTCCTTTATCTTTCAAACGGTCTCTCCCATTGCACTGTGCACTTATGGGGAACGCATCCAAAAGTGCCGTGCTATAAGCAAGTGCAGAACGAAGCCACTCTGCGAGCCCAGCCCCGGAGCGCCCGTAATGAGGGCTCCTAAAAAAGCATGAGCCAAATATGAGACCCAGGGTTATAAAATCTGGTGAAGGTAGACAGTGAAGACCAGCCAGCTGCCGCACAGATACAGTATCACCAATTAAAACTCCCCTGGACCAAGCCCAGGAGGAGGCCATTCCTCTGATGGAGTGGGCCCTCATGCCAATATTACACTGTAAGCTCTCTGAGGTGTAAGCCAGGGCTATAGCATCAACTATCCAACTATCTCTGCTTCGTAACCAGCAGCCATTTAGAGCGGCCTCCAAAGCATACACAGAGCTGCTCTGAGTGACGAAATGGGCCAGAGAGCACAACATACACTCTAAGAGCCCGAACCGGGCAGAGTGGATTCCTCTGAATTAGGAACGGCTAGCAGGGTAATAATGACTTGTGCTCTGAATGGAGTGGAGAGCACTTTAGGCACATAGCATGAAGCACTGATTGACAGTGCTTGCAAGTCGCCCACTCTATGCACTTTTGAGTATGTGTGTCCGCTATCACAGAGGTAATTTTGTTGGGCACGCACTGAAAGACGGTTCCAATTTGAACAGAGCTTCCATCGCTCAGATCTAGGCAGGGGGGTGGAGAGTGTACGCAAGCTTTATTTGAGGGCAGTCAAGCCTCGGTGGGACCAGCGTTACTCGGGGACAGGGTCCCTGGTGCTTAGGAAACAGGTAGTGTTTCGCCACCTGAAGGTGCTGTGTCATTGATGGCACGGGCTTAGCAGGCTGCTGAAAGGATGGAGCCTTCTGGTGAATTGAAGCATCTGCCAAACTGGAGCGCTTCGGCAGGAAGTGACGCATAGCCTGCGATGACTTCTGTGCCGCCGTGAAGCGTTCAGCAAATCCATCCATAGCCGGGCCAAATAATCCCATGCAGGAAACTAGGGAGTCGAGGAAGGCGACCTTGTCATCGTCCTTGATCTCCATTAAATTAAACCAAAGGTGACGCCCCAGCACCACCAAGTTGACCATGGCCTTGCGGATTGCCTGTGCTGTTGCCTTTATTTCGCGTAGAGCCAGATCAGTTGCTGTGGGCAGATCCTTAAAGGCGTCAGATCCAGAGCAGGACTTATTCATGGAGTGGAGAAGTTTGGCTTGGAAAATTTGGAGCACCGCCATCGTGTGCAGTGCTGAGCCAGCTTGGCCAGCCATTCAATAGGCCCTGCCCATGATGCAGGTTCCTGCAGGGCTTATGGATGCGTTGCATGTGCCTTCAATCCTAGGGCTGATGGAGGGCAGAGATGAGCAGCGACCACCTCTTCCAGAGGGGGAAGCTTGCCATAACCTTTCTCTTCAGTGTCATTAACGGAGGTGAGGTCGGCAGAAGTAGCAGTGTGAGGGGCACTGATCCTATCGTGAGAATAACACTGGCGAATCAAAGTGCTGTGGGGTGAGTGAAGCACATGGGACCTGTGTCAGCGTGAGATCACTCAAATCTGGGAAATCCATTCCTCTGCACCGCTGTTTCTTCCACAGAGTCTCCTGGGAGGGGAGACACGAGGGAGCAGATGAGGGAGGACCGACCTTCATTAAAGTAGGCTATACGTGACCAAAGCAGGGCAAGACTCATGCTCTCACAGTCAGAGCAATCCGTCTCGGTGAGCGTTGCCTTGGCGTGGGTGCTGCCCAGGCACACGACACACTCACTGTGCCCATCTGAGCCACACTTGCAGTGCGACATTTGAAACAATGCCGCTAAAGAAATTGCTCTTAGGAAGTGCTCTTTTCAGTCACCGGATGGAAGCACTGTTAGAGGCATCCTTCCTCTGCATCTTCGTGCTGAAGGAGAAAAATTCTGATGAATGGTGCTCTGAGCCGACTTATATAGCAGTCGGTTCCACCCCTTTTGGCGGGTTGAAGTGCCATTTGTTCATGCAGCTACACGAACGTGAACAAATCTTGCTTCAGTATCAGAGTAAACAGGAGTTTACTGGAGTAATGATGCTGAAAATTCAGCTTTACATCACAGGAATAAATTACACTTTAAAATACATTCATACAGAAAACAGTTATTTTAAATTGTAATATATCATAGTATTACTTTTTTTATAATAAATAACAGTATTTTTGACTAATTGCAGCCTTGGTGAGACTCCTTTAAAAAAAAAAACTATTTAAAACAATTTTTTTTAAATCTTACCAGCAGCAAACTTTTGAATTGTAGTTTAAATGCAAATGAAATTAAATAATGTCATCATTTATATATTTTATATTACAAAAAAAAAAAAGTTCAGACTTTTTCTCTTTTTGAAAGTCATGAAGCTCTTTTCTGTTTATTTCCTTTCATTTAATTAATGCGAGCTGTTCAAAAAGAATGCAATGTGATCAATTCAGATCTTTCAGGACCATTTATTTAGACCAAAAAGCACTCATGTAAAGTTTCCTTGAGTTGTATATCCTAATTTTTCATCCATGTTTACTTAGTTGGCCCCTGACGATGCATGGAAGTGTCCTCACTGTAAGCAGCTGCAGCAGGGCATGGTGCAGATGAGCTTGTGGACCCTCCCAGACATCCTCATCCTTCACCTCAAACGATTCCGACAGGTGGGAGAGCGCCGTAACAAGCTCTCCACGCTGGTACACTTCCCCCTCACTGGCCTCGATATGGGCCGCCACATGGTCAAGAGGAGCAACTGTGCCCGTCCACCACCCGGCTGGAAACAACAGGCCCATCACCGGCCCGAAGCCAGCCGACACATGCTGAACTTCCTGTACGACCTGTACGCCGTGTGTAACCATCATGGAGGCATGCATGGAGGCCATTACACAGGTGTGTGAGCGAAGGAGAAATGAGAAATTATGTATAGCCTTCCTGTAGCTTAAAGGGATAGTTCACCCAAAATTTTTAATTTGCTTTTAATTTACTCACTCTCAGGCCAACCAAGATGTAGTTTACTTTTTTCTTCAGTAGAACAGTAAAGAAGATTTTTAGCTGAATCCGTGGTGCTTGGTAATTCATAAGATGCAAGGCAATGGCTGCCTACACTTTGAGAGTCAAAAAAGCATATACAGGCAAGATAAAATTAATACCCGTGACTAGGGTTGGGCGCTTACATCATCACCGCATCTCACGCACCACTGATGACGCTCCCTGACGCACACCTAACATTCAAATGTAAATGTCTATTTTAAATTCGATTAATATTCATTCTTTATTCACAATCTCCTCATCACAGGCAGGCACAGCACTCATTTCAGCATGTGTTCGTGTTTGTGTGTGCGTCACTCATAGCACGTGCCTATATCGTGCGCTATATCGAACAATTTTTCTATCGATATCGAAGAAGGTGTACCGTCGATAAATATCGATACCGTTTTATCGCCCAGGCCTACCCATGACTCCTGACGACATACTGAGGTCTTATGAAGCGAAATGATTGGCCTGTACAAGAAACTGAACATTATTTGTAACATTATTACCTGTATCTGTAATGCAATAGAGGTAACTTTTGATAAAAGCGCCTTCCAAATGCATATATGTAAACGCAAATATGTTAACAAGATTTAATTTGTGCCTTTTAGGAGAAAAAGATTAGAAAAAATTATATTTAACTGAAAGATAAATACTACTACTACTACTAAATCACAAGACATAAAAAAAACATCTGAGCAACAAAAATTAGGGAAGCACTGATATTAAAATTTTGGTTGATAAAAAAAATGGCCAATAATAATTTTCATATTATTATTTTGTCTATACTATTGTCTAAATAAATTAAAAATAAACTAAAATTTTAAAAATAAAACAAAAATTGCTTTAAAAATAGTTTCAACTAAAAATAAATTGTTAAAAGCTAAAGATTACGTTTAACAGTACTCTTAAATTATTAATGTTTTTTAAAGATCAAATTTAAATGAGCATTAGAGGATTGCAAAATTAATCTAAATGTAAAGCTGAGCACGTACAATAAACAACTGATACTTATAAATTCATATGACTAATATCACTGATATCTGAAATGGTACTGATATATTATGCATCCTTAAAAAAATTCCCTTTGAGCCCCTCTACTGATCACATGCGTCCTATACGATAAGGGTGTTTTGCAGTGTTGCACATGGTGGGATCTCAGCCGGATTCATGGGATTATAATGAGGAAAGAACACTTGAAAATCCTTCAGAAATACGCCAACCCTTCTAGATCCAGAGTGGATTCACATTTCAGTGAAATAATGACCCCAAATATTTGTCAGAGTCCCGAGCAGCTATTTCAAGCAAGAAGCTTGCATCAGATTGTGCAAGGCAATGCTCTGGTCACTTCAGTCCATTGGCAACCGAAGCGCAAAGTTAAAAGGTGATGGGGAAAAAGGCGGCCATGCGACACGAGGCAGCTCATGATGTTCACCCAGGAGGAAAGAGGAAAATATTCCAGCTTCGTTTCTGCGCAAGCTGATGGACAGAATGGCCAGAATTTACCAAATATAGTAGCTGTCAGGAAAGGAAACTTTGATGAAGCTGAATGATCTTATACTTCAAAGTACAAGCCGAAATATTAACTATTTTATGTGAGAATTATGTGCTAAATAATTACACTGCAAACCCTGTTTCTTAATTATTAATATCACGATGAAAAAAACATCATAAGACTGAGAGTAGTTTATTTTTCTTACCTCAGCGACAAACTGTCTATTCTAGTTTTTAAGCATCAAAATCATGCTTATGCAATTTAATCTTTTGACAATTTGCTATGCAAAATGTATCTTGTTTAGATATTTTCATGGAAAGCAAGACAAAAATAATGATGATTAAATAAGATGTTTTGAATTTAATTACATTTTTTAAATCTTTCTGTCGCTCGGCTCGGCTAATGTCCGTCCCATGCACTGAACGCGCCCTCCTCCACATCACGAGTAGACGCGCCCCTTATTGCTGATTGGCTACAAGTTTGTTTTGCTATTCGGCCCGAATCAGTTTTCTAAAGTGTTTTTGAAAAATCACATACCCTGCCTTTAATGTATACCCACACTACCAAGGGCAAACAAGCAGAAAGCATACTCAAGTTTGCATTATCAAGAGAATACAAGAATCAGCTAATGTAGTTTTGTTTAGTAGATCATTTCAGCCTGGTAGGTGTGCAATCTTTTTATGGTTTTCACAATATATACTTAAATTTCTGATACTAAGAAATGTATGATTACATTTTGAAAATCTGCTATTAAGTTTGTTAGAATGTTCACCACTCAAAATGCAATATTGACTGCTTTTATTTTAACATTTTACTTAACTATATTTTATTTTATTTTTAAAATTCCACTTCTCAGAACATGGAAATAGCTAGTAGAGTAACTTTATTTGCTATCTATTTTATGCAAACAAAGTAGGCAATAAGGCATTCTAGACTGTGAATATATACATTAATGTTTTACTGTAATTTTGATCAAATGAATGTAGCCTTGGTGAGCATAAGAGACATCAAAAACATTTTAAAAATATTACCAACCCCATACTTTCCAACGCTAGTGTACTTGCAGCAATGTCAAATGTCAAAGTCACATCCAACCTCTGGGGTGGCTCCAAGAGCTTTTCCACACAGCTCTCTTCAACTTCTCTATGAGAACCACATCTTCAGAATCCAAATATAAACACAGAAATGACACAAATGGAATTATATGTATTCAGCACTAGTCCAAAGACTGCCTGGTCACTGTGTAGCCACGACATAACCTTGGTGCCGGAACAAGAACAAAACATTTCCAGGAAGGACAAGGCACAGACATGGCTTTGAGCTGCTTGTCACAGGGGGCTGGAGACACAAAATTTCTCACACACACACACACACACACACACACACACACACATTCTCTGACAGAGTTTTCTCACTTTCTCTTTCTGCTTCAGTGTCTCTGCTGCTGTTTGCCCTCCTTTTCCCTCTCCACTGAAGTTAAATTATATGATACTTCAACAAATCAAATCTACACAATCATATCACAAGTCAAAAGATTAGAGTTATAGCCTAAAGAAATTATTATGATGACTGTATATGTTCACTGAAGCAAGCTGAGCGGGCGTTTTCAATTCATTTTCTATGTGAGGTGAGCGGCAGGTTCACACATCAAAAAGTCGAGTAATTTTCGACTTTATGTAAATGAGAGGTAAAAACACTGTGTGCCAATGAATAGATGTGAGATGAACGTAGTGCTGTCCGTCTAAGCTTTTTAAAATCTGCCTGTAGTGCTGGTGCATTGCTTAAATGTCATTCTTGCATATTACTAGATTAAATCAGATTTCAATGCATTATGCACACTTTCTCTGTAGCTATGAGTTAAAAAAGTTTGGCACAATTGTAGACCACTCTTAAAGCAGCTTTGTACATGCAAACTTTTTACACACGTCTTGCAGCGTTTCTTCTACACCAGTGGAAACAAGCACTACCATTCGAAAATTTTCATGTTTTTGAAAGAAGTCTCTTATGCTCACCAATACTGCATTTATTTGATCAAAAATACAATAAAAACACTAATATTATGAAATATAATTTCAATCTGAAATAACTATTTTCTATTTGAATATAATTTAAAGTGTAATTTATTCCTTTGATGTAAAGCTGAATTTTCAGCATCATTACTCCAGTCTTCAGTGTCACATGATCCTTCAGAAATCATTCTAATATGCTGCTTTGATATTATTATCAATGTCGAAACCGTTTTTGCTGCTTAATATTTTTGTGGAAACCGTGATACATTATTCAGGATTCTTTGATGAATAGAAAGTTCAAAAGAACAGCATTTATTTGAAATTGAAATTTTTATAACATTGTTGATGTCTTAATGTAAAAATTAATACGTCCTTGATGAATGAAAGTATTATTATTTTTTTATTTTTTCAAGGGTCTTACTGTCCCTAAATGTTTGAACAGTAGTGTATGGTTTGAGTGCCGGCTTTGTTTGAACAAACTAAGTGCACTTCACTAAGTGGTAAATGCAATTAAAATGAGTTTGCAATGTTAAAAGATATGCATATTAAATAATGGAAGGACTGAATTTTACAGGTAATTGAGATATTTAGCCATTATGCCTAACAACATATTTTACAACATTCCAAAAATTTTTTTATATATATATATTTATATATTTTCCATAGTGAAGCAAGGCACAATAAATTATTTGCATATTTTGCTATATTTTTGTACATGGTAATTTTTTTAATGTTCTGCATTTTACTGTTAAAATGCAGTGAGCAGTTTTTTAATGATATATGACTATATGATATCTGAATCTTTTGTTATAATGCATTTTGATATGATCAGAGGTGCTGTAATTATCCATGAATTGTCATGCAGCAGATGCCTTAGGTTTCTCTAATGTGACAGTAATTAAAATGGATCGGTTATCAGCAGCTCCCATTGACACACAATAGAAACAAATACTGTGAAGTCTGAGTTGAACTGAGTTGAACTCTTTGAACTGTTGTGAGCAGCTTCAAGCAACAGTTCAAAATAAAACAGATTCCACAAACGTGAACCCGAGTTCAGTTAAGCCATCACCTTCAGTGTTCGCTGTTCGCAAAGTCACATAATTCACCTCCATATAATGTGCCTCAGGGCATTTATGCATGAACCGTCAAAAACTTTTAAATATGTTTGAAGCTGGATATGTGCTTTGACACATTTTTTTATTTCATTGTACTTTGTCAATCCTTATATATAATATGAAGCTTTTCAGCTTAACCCACACATATGGTTAAAGAGCAGGTCAAAACTCATCTTTTTACTTTGGCGTTTATTAATTGATTTCGTTATAGTCATGTTATGTGTATTTGACATTATGCTA